TATTGTAATTCACTCTGCGTTATATGGTAAAATTTAGCCCACAGGCAATTTTGTTATATTTGTAGGGTTAATTAGGATGAAATACCATACTATGATCATAATTTGCCCACAGGGATTATGTATCGGCATATAGTTTTGGTAGTTTTGTCATTAAGGGTGGAAAAAAATTAAAATCGCACCCATTCCGTTTCCACCATTCAGTTTTGGTAAATTCATTATGCGTAAAAATTTAGCCCACAGGCAATTTTTATGGCATCCGAATTTATCTTTCGCATAATTTTACATTGGTAATATTATGTACTTCAGTATCTCTCTCTAATTTTTGTGCCTCGACAATATTCTAACCAAGCATTAATTATTATTCTTTACAGCAACTCATCCTGTCACCCAAACACAAATTAATGTTCCAATCCTTAATGAAGATAATCACAAGGAGTGGAAAGATGCAATTCTCAGACAATTAAGATTATTAGAGTTGGATTACGTTGTTCTCAATGAGGAACCCCCTGAGGTTACTGAAGAAAGCACTGGCGAAGCCAAGCAGCTTCGCGCTCGATGGGAGAAATCCAATCGATTATGTGTGATCTTCATTATGTCACGAATTTCCACAAAAATTCGTTTTTGCTTTGAGGACATTAAGAAAGCGAAACATTTTCTCAAAGCTATCGATGATAACTTCATTGAATCAAAAAAAGTTTTGGCAATGACTCTAATCATGAAGTTGAGAAATTTGCGTCTTTCCACTGTCAAGGGAACGCGTGAACACATTATGCAACTCAGGGATATTGCGGCTCAATTAAAGGAGTTGGAAATCATTCTACCAGATGATTATTTGGTGCTTTTTGCACTTGATACCCTTCCTCAGGAGTACAATCCTTTTAAGATTTCCTACATCACACATAAAGAGGACTGGTCTATCAATGAGTTGATAACCATGTGTGCAATGGAGGAACAAAGGCTTGTGGCTAAGCTTGGGTATGTTCCATCTTCTTTTGTTTGTTTCAAATCTAATATGTCAAAGTTAATACTAATTCTTGGTGGATTGACTCTGGTTCAACAATCCACATTGCAAACTCTTTGCAGGATTTGACAAAATTGAGACAGCTAACGGGAACTGAGTGTAGCGTCTTCTCTGGAAACAAGATTGCATCACCAGTCGAAGCTGTTGAAGTTTGCAATTTAGTTTTGGACAATGGTTTTGTAATGACATTAGAAAAGACATTTTATGTTCCTAGTTTTTCTAGGAACTTAGTTTCAGTATCTAGACTTGTACCCTTCAGTTATTCTTTTGAATTTAATACCAATAATATCAAGTTATTTCGTTATTCTACTTGTGTTGGTACTGGTACATTGTCTAATGGTCTTTTCCTTCTTAAATTAAAGAATTATTCAGTTTACAATTCTTTACATGTTCAAAACGGCACCAAACGGTGTAGTATTAACGACAATTCCTCAATGTTGTGGCATCGGAGATTATGTCATATCTCCCTTGAGCGTATTAAAAGGTTAGTAAAGGATGGAGTACATTTTACTCTAGACTATACTGACTTTGAGACTTGCCTTGACTGCATAAGGGTAAGCAGACAAACAAGTCAAAGAAAGGTGCCAATAGAAGTACAACGTTGTTGGAAATTATTCATACTGACATATGTTGTCCTGATATGACAATACCTGGTCAGAAACATTTCACCACCTTTATTGATGACTTCTCAAGTTTTTCCTATGTGTATTTACTTCATCATAAACATGAAGCATTGGATGCCTTTAAATCATTTAAAGCTGAAGTTGAAAACCAATGTAACAGGAAAATACACATAGTTAGGTCTGATACGGGTGGTGAATACTATGGTAGATATACTGAGAATGGACAAGCACCTGGTCCATTTGCTAAGTTTCTTCAAGAGCATGGGATTGTTGCCCAATACACCATGCCTGGTTCTCCTGACCAAAATGGTATAGCTGAAAGAAGAAACTGGACCTTTCTGGATATGGTGTGGAGTATGCTTAGCAACTCTAAGCTTCCTAAGCCGTTGTGGGATGAAGCACTTAAGACGGAAACGTATATATTAAACCGTGTTCCAACCAAGGCTGTCTCTAAGACACCGTTTGAGTTATTTAAAGGTTGGAAATCGAGTTTGCAACATATGCGTGTTTAGGGATGTCCGTCTGAGGTGAGGATATATAACCCACACGAGAAGAAACTTGATCCAAGGACGATTAGTGCTTTCTTTATTGGATATGCACAATCTTCTAAGGGTTATAGATTCTATTGTCCATCTCATACTACTAGGATAGTGGAATCAAGGAATGCTAAATTTCTTGAAGATGACTTGATTAGTGGGAGTGATCGGTTTAAGGACTTAGTTCCTTCCTTCGATCATATTGACTCTCAACCTTCTACGTCATCTGGTGGGGTTGTACTTATCCGCAGTGCTCCTTTAGTTATGCCTGCAGATATACCACCTACCGTTTAGGTTCCACAAACTGTTGAGGATCAACCTTTGGAAGAACCATTTCAGGACTTACAGCAACCGCCTGAACTAGATTTTGAACCAATGGTTGAACCAACTCAGGATATACAGCAAGATTCTGAGCCGATGCAGACTGAACCAATTCAAGAATTGCTACCAGTTCCTGAAGAGGTAGTTGACCTGCAGCCTGTGCAAGGCGGTGGAGGTCCAACATTAAGACGGTTTACTCGGATAAGGCGATCAACAGGTCCTAGTTATTATGTTTCGTATCTACAAGAATCTGACATAGGGGCAGAAAATGATTCTGAAACATTCTCTCGAGCCACAAATTGTGCACAGTCTGACTTATGGTTAGAAGCCATGAAAGATGAAATGAATTCCATGAAGGACAATGAAGTTTGGGATCTTGTGGAGTTGCCTAATGGGGCCAAGGCCGTTTGTTGCAAATGGGTCTTTAAGGCTAAAAGAAACTCATTAGGTAACATTAAGAGATACAAGGCCCGGCTTGTTGCCAAGGGATTTACTAAAAAAGAAGGAATCGATTACAATGAGACATTTTCTCCTGTATCAAAGAAAGATTCACTTCGGATCATTCTGGCATTAGTTGCACATTTTAATCTTGAGTTGCAACAAATGGATGTGAAAACCGCTTTCCTAAATGGTGATCTAGAAGAGGAGGTTTATATGAAACAACCTGAAGGTTTCTCTTCTAGGGGTGGTGAGCATTTAGTATGTAAGCTTAAGAAATCCATATACGGTTTAAAACAAGCCTCCCGTCAATGGTACATCAAGTTCAATGGGGTAATTTCTTCATTTGGTTTTGTTGAAAATCCCTCAGATAACTGTATATACCAGAAGGTGAGTGGGAGTAAAATTCGTTTCCTTGTTTTATATGTGGATGGCATCTTACTTGCCACCAATGATAAGGGGATGCTTCGTGAAACAATTTCTTTCTATGAACTTTGATATGAAGAATATGGGTGATGCCTCTTACGTTATCGGCATTAAAATTCGTAGAGATAGGTCCCGGGGTATACTGGGTTTATCTCAAGAAACCTATATAAACAAGTTTTAGAGAGATTTCATATGCAAAATTGTTCACCGAACGCTGCTCCCATAACTAAGGGGGATAAATTCAGTTTAGACCAATGTCCGGAAAATGACTTGGAGAAAGAATCCATGGAGAACATCCCTTATTGGATGTCTTGGATATATTTGAGTCTGTATAAGGCCGGACATTGCTTTTGCGGTTGGAATGCTTGGGTGTTACCAACACAATTTGGGGTAAGACTATTGGAGAGCTGTAAAGAGGGTTCTAAGGTATCTAAGATGAACCAAAGGTTACAAGCTTGGGTTTAGGCAGACGGACAATTTAGATCTTGTCGGTTATTCAGACGCGGACTTTGCTGGCTGTGTTGATTCTCAAAAATCAACATCAGGGTGCGTCTTTATTGTGGCCAGTGGGGCTATCTCATGGAGAAGTGTTAAACAGTCCTTAATAGCTACTTTTACCATGGAAGCCGATTTCGTTTCCAGTTTCGAGGCAACTTCATAGGGTGTTTGGCTAAAGAATTTTAACTAGGGGCTTAGAATTATGGATTCTATATCTAAGCCATTGAAAGTCTACTGTGACAACTCAGCTGCAGTCTTCCTAGCTAAGACCACAAAAGTGGGAGTCGAATTAAGTACATCGACATCAAGTTCTTAGCAATTAGGAAGTGTGTCAAAAATAAAGTTCTATTCTTTGAACACATTAATACTGGGTTGGTGTTAGCAGATCCCTTGACTAAATGCATGCCTTCAGTTAAATTCAAGGATCTGGTTTAGAAAATGAGACTTTCATCTACTTTGTGATTTGTATATACATTCAGTTTCAATAAAATTCTTTGGCATTCAGACATTTTCTCAATTAAGTGTGTACACATTCATTTGCTTCATATTGATGAGAAAATGTACTTCAGGGACTTGGAATAAACATAGGGTTTATTTCGTTGGGTTTTGTTTCCTAATTAAGTGCTCATTGGCAGTTTGCATTTGATCATAATGGATACTACTCGTGCTAATGAGAACATATCACTATGGTTGGTGTTTTTCTGTTATTGAGTGGTAGTGCTTGCACCAAGTGGGAGAATGTAACGTTTATCCGTTACTATTATTATAACATTAGGATAAGTTATGATAATATTCAGTATTTGATATGTGGTGCAACACTAATAACCTAACAACTAGACTACCATTATGATTAGGAGTCTAGTTAGGGTTTAGGAGACCTAAAGACAATCAACCACAATGATGGCCAGTGGTTATATAAGGTCACTAGTCTTCTCACTGCTCACATTACATACCTCATACACCATCTAGAGAGAGCTGAGTAAAGTGAGAGACAAAGCACTTATCATCTCTGCAGCAGCCCGGATCGCTCAACCGTAAGAAGAACTATGGCTGGAGGTTAGTACGATCCTATTATCACATATAAGATTATGCATGTGATATTTTAGTCTAACATGATGATGACAAGGAATGCCTCGTACTGAGCTACTTCGTAGGGCCCGCAAGGCGCGTGTCGTCTCAAATAAAGAAAAAGGTGAAATCTTGTTTCAGACGGGAAAGGAAAAGCAATGGTGATGGTGATGGTGATGGTGATGGTGATGGTAGTGGTGGTGATGGTGATGATAGTGATGGTGATGGTGATGACGCAGAGAGGAGGAATATGTTGTATGAAGCAGAAAGTGTAATCAAACAAGAACTGAGATCCTCTTATCTCAACAAATACATGAAACAACGGATACAGGCTACACAAAGGATTCGTCAACTCTTCATCCAAGGAATTAGGCTCACATCTTACATCAAGAAAGAGATGTTGATGAAGGTTAAGAATAATGCATACCACCAATCCAACAACTCACAAAACAACAATAATCCTGTTTCTCCTACAAGGCCAGAAGGCGGTAACATTACGGTTGGTGATTCAAAGTCTGCAATCAAAATGGTGGGCTGCGATGATGAGTTCAACACCATAATGGACTACCTGAGCCAGCAATCCTCAAAACGAGAAATTGTCTCAATTGTGGGAATGGGTGGCATCGGTAAAACCACCTTAGCTAGAAAGATTTATGAAGATGCCTCAATCATTTCTTGGTTTGATTGTCGAGCTTGGGTTACCATCTCACAGGACTATAATCCAACACAAGTGTTCCAATGCCTGCTTCGTTCTCTTGCCCTAGGGGCCAGTCACAACAATGGAGCTAGCAACTACGAATTGACTGAGCAAGTATACAAGCTTCTAAAACATCAAAGGTATTTGATTGTAGTAGATGATATTTGGAGTACAGATGTCTTGGATGATTTAATGAGATGTTTTCAGGATGACAATATTGGAAGTCGAATATTGTTGACCACTCGGCAAAAAAATGTGGCTGAGTTTGCTGATCCAGGACTCCAGGTAATAATTTTTGCCATACCTTGCGTTTTTTGGATTCAAATGAAAGTTGGAATCTTTTTCAGAGCAAGGTGTGTAAGAGATCAATAACTCTACTGTCCCCTCAATTTGAAAAAATTGGTAGAGAGATAGTAGACAAGTGCAAAGGATTACCTCTTGCAATTATTGTGGTTGCAGGACTCCTTTCAAACTCCAACCAAACCTCTATTGATAAATGGGAGCATATTGAAAAATGTGTCCCTGCTTTGAGTTTAGATCATTCTAATCAGCAGGGTGAGAACATCATTGATTTGAGTTACACCTTGCCTCACCACCTTAAACTTTGTTTTTTGTCATTTGGGTGTTTTCCAGAAGATTATGAGATTTCTGAATGGGAGATGGTGGATTTTTGGGTTCCGGAGGGATTTCTAATGGTTTTGAGGTCTGATGAGAGCTTGGAAGGTGTGGCAAGGACGAACTTTCAAGATCTTGTGGATAGAAATCTTGTTCTAATTCGTCGAGACAGAAATGATATAGAATTATATCAAATGCATGATGTCTTGCGTGAATTGGCTTTGAGAGAAGCCCAAAAAGAAAATCTTTTATGTTTCAAGAAAGGTTATGGTAGAATTAGTTTGAGGTGGAAGAGAAATCAATCAATAAACTCTTCCCATATATCTCAACCATGGAGCATCCAATCAAGAATTTGCAGTCACAAGAGTATAACTCCTACTACCAACACTTCTTCACTGATTCATAGAATTTATTTTGACAGGACTTCAAGACAGTATGCACATTTTAAGTTTTTAAGGGCATTGGAAGTATTCAATGGGGTGATAAATGTCCATAATATTTTGGAGATTGTGGGTCTAGTGCATCTGAGATAGTTATCTATTACTTATGGGTTAAATATGCCGTCTCTGCCTTTGTTCATGTTGCGGAATCTACAAGAACTACAAGTTCGTCATTATTCACCATGTGAACCCCTTGATATTTGGGGATTACCTCAATTAAGGAATCTCTATATTAGTGGCATTGCACTAGTTCCTCCAAGATCGGTTCATCATAATTTGGAGAGCATTAGAAGTTTGGATTATAGGAGTTGTACGTACAAAGGAGTTGGTCCTGAGGATCCCAAATCTAAGGACATTGGAAGTTATTACTAATTATAAAATTAGATGCGAAGCTCCCAATTGGTTAGAAAGTCTTGTCTATTTATATAAAGTGGAAACACTAGTGGTTCGTTGACGATGTCGTACTTCCGGAGTTTCGATCTATTTATTCTATGGGAATGCTAAGCCTAGAGAATTTTTTGCCAAATCTTAAGGAGTTAACTTTCTTTCTTACAAATTTAAAATGGAAGGATATGGATGTTGTTTGTAAGTTGTCTAAGCTTGAGGACCTCACATTGAATGCATGGGCTGTTAAGGATCAAAAATGGAAACCCAAAGATGGAGGATTTCTTCGATTGAAGTTCTTGAAGATATATCAGAACCCTCTACAATATTGGGAAGCCACTAGTAATCATTTTCCCGTCCTTGAAAATCTAGTCCTTTATTACATAGCCTCGAAAGAAATTCCTAGTGATTTTGCAGAAATAACTACTCTCAAATTAATCAAATTAAAAGGTTGTTCAGAGTCACTTATATCATCTGCTAAGCATATTCAAAAAGAGAAGCAAGAGTATGGAAATGACACATTTGTTGTTGATATTTTAAGGTCAGATTTCTATGTCTACCTTTGCTTTTCAAAAAAATAAAATATTAAATTAAGATTTATTTTTGAATCCTTATTTTTCATCATTGTAATCCAAATTTATATCAATTTCAGCGATTAATTTCTAAACCATATTCAAATGGTATGTTGCCCAGAGGTTTTTCCAACGCATCAAACTGTAAGTGTATTCACAGTAGAACGATACAAGAGTACAGATAGACTATACAATATCCTTTATACTTTCATAATGAGTAAGTTTTCTCTTTCTTTTTTGTTTTTAATTTTATTTTCTGGCCCACTGGTTATTTAAGGTGAGAGTAGGGTGCGCACTGGACATGCGGGTGGGGCTTCTTGGAGTGCATGCTTTGAAAGCTAGGGTGCTTCTTGGAGTGCATGCTTTGAAAGCTAGGGTTTGATCGAGGATTAGGTGAGGTTGATTACGGTATGTATCTCAACAATAAAATATAATGTGTGACAAGGCAAGTTACTCCTACGAGAGGACCCATTGTCACCGTATTTGTTCATAATAAGTGTGGAGGCCGGAGGGTCTCTCACTTCTGTTTAAGGAAGCGAAGAGGGACGGACACATCCATGGGGTGAGGGTTGCACGTGGGGCTCCTCCGGTGTTCGATAAGTGTCAATTGTACACATTTTTGTGCTTAATTTGCACCATTTATTGCATTGCATAAGGCTTATTAGTATTATTTATCTTCTTTTAGGTGTTTTTTTTTTATATCTTCAATGGCAAGGGAAGTGAAGAAAATGGAGATTTTTGGAGGATTTGCAGCACTAATTAAGGAGCCCTTTTTGAGATGATCGAGAGCATCATTGGATAATCAAGAAGAAGGATCAGAAGGATCGCGTTCAAGTGAGCCAAATGGGCGTCGACATGCCTATGTAGGGGCCGGTTCTTGGGCACATACATCACACGGGTGCGAGAAAGCCCGTATGTACTCGGGCGCCCACACACTAGTGGGGCAATTCTTTGTTCTAATTCTAGATCGAAATTAAAGATTTTGAATTCTAACGTACATTGTGTTTCTCCCCAATTTTCTCAGATTGTTATTATCCTTAATCCATGAAGATCAGATCAGATAGATGCAACCAACACACCACACATCTACAGCAGCACGGTAATCTGAAGACTTCAACACAAGCTCGGCCGTGAGGTACAATTTAGTACATGACCAATCTGGCTATTCATTTAGTCTTCATAATTACATAATAGTTTTTATTTTCTTTTTGAGATGAGAGGTTGGCTTATGTGTTGATTTCCTCTCTTATATATGGTTGTGTAATTTTCTATTTGAGATTCCCATGTGTATTAACCTATTAGGTTTTTAGTTTAGAAGTATTATTTATTCCGTTTTGTCATGGACTCTCATTAAGTGTGGGTTGTTTTACATGACAGTGTGATTTACTCGATATTCTTGCTTTTGCACAATTGCAGAAGGATGCTAAATATGCTCTGGTGTATCAACTTCTTAAGATCTTTTTGACTCAGAGGTTGGATGCATACCTGGATTTCCAAGCAGCAAATTCCACTATTGAAAAGCTATGGTAACTATATGTTCCATTACTTGGGCCTTGGCCTTTTAGATATATCAATTCCTATGTGGATTACTTCAACTAAGGAATCTCTCTATCAGGGAAGGCGTTGCATTAGTTCCTCCAAGATCAGTTCATCATAATTTGGAGAGGATTTAGATTTTTGTATTATAGGAGTTGTATTGAGGAACTGTTTGTGAGAATCCCCAATCTAAAGACATTGGGAGTTACTAGCACTCATCCTTCAGAATGCAATAAAGCTCACAATTGGTTTGAAAGCCTTGCCTATTTATATAAATTGGAAGAACTGTTGTTTTGTGGCATAGATCTTCAACCGGAGTTTAGAACTGTACTCTTCATTCTCTGGGGTTACTGAGTCTAGATAATTTTTTGCCAAATCTTAAGAAGTTGCAACTCTTCGATACGAATTTAAGATGGAAGGATGTGGATCTTATTGGTACATTATCTAAGCTCGAGGAACTCAAATTGAGAGCTTGGTCTGTTCATGGCCGAAAATGGGAACCTAGAGACGGAGGGTTTCATGGATTAAAGTTCTTGTTCTCGAGTATCTAGCTTTCATGTACATGGGTTACAACAGCGTAAAAGAGATTCCTACTGATTTTGCAGATATATCTACTTTCAAGCCAATTAATTTATTTGAATGTTCAAATCAGTTTATGTCATCTGCCAAGTGTATTCAAGAAGAACAACAAGAGTACGGAAATGACACATTAGTTGTGCATATTGTAAGGTAAGATTTAATTTCTAGCTATCTTTATCTATAAAAACAAAAGTTGAAATAAGATTCTAATAAACTTTTTAATCTTTAAATTGTACTAATCGAAACCAAATTTATTTCTAATCCATAGATCATGATGTTTTGGTTTTCAGCCGGGAGGAGGCCAACCGGAGGTATTTAAGAAGAATCGAATAAAAATGAGTTTT